CGCTAAGTCGAGCCGAATGGAGTTGTCGGGATTCACTGGTCATGGCTAAGCCCACCTCGGTGCGGCAGCCCACAAAATTCTGGGCAGATCAAACCTCCGAGTGATAGAACAAAAACTTCTTCTTTCGATCAAAATTGGCGTGTCTCTATAGAGGTTTTATAGAGGTTTATTGGAAACTGATATTTCAGGAACAGACAGTCAACTCTGCCTGAAGAATGCTCCCAATATCGATGCCTGATCTAAGAAAAGGAAATGGGTCGCCGTTGCTGTGGTTAATCGACATTTGCAATATTCTGTTCACGTCTCATATCTTCGTGAAAGCATATCCGTTGCCCTCTACGCGTATTTGAATTCCATCTCGACTTCTCCATTGTTGAAACCACTAATTAGCCTAAAAGGCTTCGTTAAAGCCACGAGTCGGAGTTAGGGGCCAAGTCCCTTCAGAGTAAAGAGAGGGGTCCCCAAGCGCAGGAAGGCACGACACTGTCGCGACTCAAAAGTGCGAGGCAACGGCGCTAAGGCCTTGCTTTGTGTGCTGTGCTGCCATCCTTATCAACCACGGCATACGTGGTCTCTGCGCCTCTCGCGTACGACGTACTCTCTCGCGTTTTCCCTCTCCTCGCAGCGCTGTGTCTCTCCGTCATACCACGGCCGACGTCACAAAGAAAGTTTCAGTGTTTTCTATGGCACTTTTTGATTTTCTCCTCATTGCATTTGTTATCTGATTTCTGAACAAAATAGCACACCGATTTGATCCGACTCGTGCCTTTGAGACAATTTGATAGAGCTCCCTCACGACTGCCCTTCAGCACCCCTCTTAAAACAGGCCGTATCCAGATCATTTGTACTCATCGCACTCATCATGACTAGTATGTTCTCACATTGCAATTGTCTGTGATTTTCAATAAAGCGTCCTTTTTTATAGTGCTGTTTTTAGTTAGTGGCAAATCCAGGTAGGATGTGGGTAGCAGGGTCGCAACGGGAACTCTCTGCCTCTAGTAGGGGTCTCGATACAACCTCACACCTTGTATCACTTATTTATGTCTTTTTATACCTCTAAATGCCCATGCGGGCAGTCATCTACTCTGAAGAGGTGGTATAGGAGTTTCCACGATGGGGTGGCATTCGCCTAGAATTAAAACACCACTTTACGAAATAGGTATAAAACTACAAGGCTATTCTTGGAGCGTATGCCGTCATTTTTAGTGTGGGGCTGTGAAAAACACAAGAATTAGCAAACGGGCGATGAACAACAAAAAATGCGCTATAGTGCAAGATGAGACCCTATCTAAATGAATAGATTCCTAAAAGGTTTGTATACCGCTTCTACCCCGCGCATGCGCCTACGTCACATTGACTCTTGAAACCAACTGCACACCCTTGCAATTACTAATGGCTCAGCCCTGCCATTTTGCTCCTGTATCTCTCTTATTTTTTTGTATGTGTACTTGATTCGGAGTTGGATAACATAAACGCTGACGCTAGCGCTCCCGGCTCAATCCTCCTTTTGAGTCTGATATATTTGACCTGCTGCCTTCGTCTATACCCATCTTCGTGGCAGGATACGATGATTTCAAAGAAGCATGTCATTAGCCCTCTTCTTTCACAGTTTTTGTGGTTGGGCCTTCATCAGCCGGCCTGTCAACCTGGGCCTGACGCTGGTACTAGAACCATTTTTGCAATTTTTGCAGAGGCATGGTCGACAGGAATCGAACTCGCAGCTTTCAGAGGTGCAGGCATGAGTCTACACTCTCAACCACTCGCCCTATCCTATCTACCCTATCCCCCATATCTCATACTCTCATACATCATGCCCTATCTCATACTATCCCTGCCTTCGCCCAGTTCTGATCTTTTATATTAGTCTTTTGATTTGTTGGTTTCACGTTGGTGACTGCGTGGTATCCGATCCACTAACGACTTCTTTATTTATAGTCTTTTTGATCTCACAGTGAGAACTGCCTTGAGATTGAGTGGTTGAAAAAACCTTTTCCATCTAGCCACAACCCTGGGTCTACTGATTTGTTGGCTGATCGCTTACAAAATGAACACTCTTTAGGTGAATAGCATAGTTCAGATACAACGTAAAGGAGCCCAAAAAAGGCATGCGACTGATCTTGAGCTGTCACCCACTCCTGCATTTGACCTCGTAATCACATGGCTGGTTGATGGAGAACGAATCTTCGCCTTCTCATCTCAGGATGATGCTTAGTTTTCTCATCGACGATTGCAAACAAACCCAAGTGTACAGCTGTGCAGGGAACTTACAGAAGAGGGTAAGTCTCTTAGACATGAAAATTCCGTTTTGAAGCAACCACCCTTTGTTTGTAGTGATGGCTCTTCACAAAATAATGCCTCCGCAGTTCTAACCTCATACAATTAACTTTTAATATTGAATTGTTTTGTTTGTTAACTGCTGATTGGTCGCGATCGCATTGCGAGTGCGTTTTATTCGCCTTTAACCGGTGAAACTCCAGTTCGGGGGGGCCACTCCATTGCTATCTTATCCGTAGTACTAGAGAGCAGTTCTTTGGGCTATCGAACACTACGGATAAGATAATAAGTGAACGACTCATTTCGAGCGTACTTTTGATAAGGACCGGTGGATGTCCTACATTCCACACTACCTGCCCACATCCCATCCACTTTTCTGCACAGGTGATCCACCCTGGAGCTCCTGCACCCTTAGCCCTTTGCGGAGGTGTCCTTTCTCCTGGTCCAGGACCGTTCCCTTGGGTCATGGCAGGCGGAAATGTGAAAACGTTTCAGGGTTTCTCACCCATTACACCAATATTTATCAGAAGTCTACTTTAAATGAGTCGATTACGTGTCGTGAGCCCTCTAATCCTTATCTTGAGTATTGGAGAAAAAATGGAGTGGCCCCCCCCCGAACTGGAGTTTCACCCGCTTTAACCTTTAATAATTACCAATTAACCTTCAGTAATTACTATATATTCATATCCACAAAAGAGATTAACCGAACTCGTTCAATTATTGTTTTTATAGTTTCTGGAAGCGGCAATTATTGAGGCACAGGCAGGGATAGCCGAGTGGTTAAGAGGTTAGACTCATGTCTGCACCTCCAAAAACCGCGAGTTCGATCCCTGCCGAGGCTCTAAACCATGCCTTGCAAAAATTGCAAAAATGGTTCTAGTACCAGCGTCAGGCCCAGGTTGACAGGCCGGCTGATGAACACCCCAGTCACACCAAATATGTCTAAAAGTCGCAAAAGAATCAGTGTTAATGCTAGGACGTCACCCGGAAGTGGCGCGCAGAACCCCCGCCCGAGTTCTGTGGTCAGTATGCGAGGGCTACCGAGGAGTGAACGGCCTCGGCCAAAGAAGCTAGTTCGAATAGGGACTCTGAACGTAGGGATCGCTAACTGGGAAGTCCCGAGAGGTTGCTGACCTGATGACGCGCAGGAATATCCAAGTCCTATGCCTTCAGGAGACGCGATGGAAAGGTGCTAAGGCCAGGGAAATCGGGGAAGGTGTCAAACTCTACTACAATGGGGAAGACACCAAGCGGAACGGTGTGGCCATAGCGGTAGCGGAGTCGCTCAAGGACTATGTCTCCGCAGTGAACAGGATCAGCGATCGGATCATGGCTGTGAGGATAGACACGAAGGAGGGGTACTGGACCATACTCTCCGTGTACGCACCGCAAGCCGGATGCCCCGAAAGTGATAAGGACGAGTTCTATCTCAGCCTTGGACGATGCCATCAGAACGATTCCGGAAGGCGATTACCTGACCATAGCAGGTGATCTGAATGGTCACGTCGGCAGTGACAGAAGAGGCCTGGAAAGGGTGCACGGAGGTAGAGGGATAGGAGTGAGGAACGCTGAGGGAGAGAGGGTTCTGGACCTGGCTACGGCCCACGATCTGGCAATCTGCAGCACGTTCTTCGCGAAAAGGGAGACTCATAAGGTCACCTACAGCAGTGGAGGACGACAAACGGAAATCGACCATGTGCTGGTAAAAAGATCATCCCTCAGAACTGTGAAGGACGTCAAGGTACTCCCTGGCGAGGAGCTGGCTTCCCAGCACAAGCCACTCCTGGCAGACATAGCCATGGAGCTCCCCAAGAAGACAAAGGTAAGAACCGAGAAGAGAATAAGGTGGTGGAAGTTGCACCGTGCAGAGAAGAGTGACCTCAAGCGAAGGATAATGGAAGTTGGTCTCCCAGATCCTGAGGGACCAGTGCAGCAGGCTTGGGGCACTGCAGCTGAGATCATCCTACGATGCGCCAAGGAGGTACTGGGAGAGACGCGAGGTGGATTCAGAGGAGACAAGGCAGCGTGGTTCTGGAACGAGGAGGTCCAGCGAGTCGTGAAACAGAAGAAGGAAGCATACAAGCGCTGGCAGAAGACCCGGAGCCCCGAAGACCTCGCTGCCTACAAGAGTTGCAAGAGGCTCGCTAAGGCCGCCGTAGCCAAGGCAAGAACACGGAGATGGACGCCTTGTACGAGAAGTTGGAAAGCAGAAACGCAGAGAAGTTCGTCTTCAGACTGGCCAAAGCCCGGCATCGGGCTACTCAAGATATCAGGGTGGTGAAGAGAGCGTGAAGAGCAACAACGGCGCCATACTGAGGAAGCCAGCCCAAGTTCGGAGGAGGTGGGAAGAGTACTTCAGAGGTCTTCTGAACGAGGAGTTCTCCCACGAGAACAACTCACGGGCAGAGGCCACAGCTGGTCCCATCGCACTCTGGACAGAGGATGAGGTTCGGCGCGCACTTGGGAAGATGAAGGTTGGAAAGGCAGTTGGTCCGGATGGAGTACCCATAGAGGCTTGGAAGGCCCTGGGAGAGCACGGGGTGAAGTGGCTCACCCGCTTCCTGAATACGGTGACTGCCGAAGGAAGGATGCCGGATGCCTGGAGAACAAGCACTATCGTCCCCATCTTCAAGCAGAAGGGTGACGCGATGGACTGCTCCAACTACCGCGGCATCAAGTTGACTGCGCATACCATGAAGTTGTACGAGCGCCTGGTCGACTCGAAACTGCGGGACTGGTCCAGATCTCCCAGGAACAGTTCGGGTTCATGCCCGAAAGGTCTACAACGGATGCCATCTTCATCGCTAGGCAAGTGATGGAGAAGTATCGCGAAAAGTGCAGGCCTTGCTACCTAGCCTTCCTCGACCTGGAAAAGGCGTTCGACCGGCTACCGCGAGCAGTGCTATGGAGGTCGCTTAGGGAACGAAACGTGCCAGAACACCTCATCTCTCTGGTGAAGGATATGTACGAAGGAGCCAAGGCAGCTATACGCACCCCATACGGCCTAACGAAGGAGGTGGACATCACGGTCGGGGTGCACCAAGGGTCAGCTCTGAGCCCGTTCCTCTTCCTCCTAACACTAGATGTCCTGGTGAAGGGGCTCATGGAGGGACCACTGAAGACTATCCTCTATGCTGACGACGTCGCCTTGATAGCTGATAGTAGAGAGGAACTTCAAGCCAAGGTGCAGAAATGGCAGAAAGTCCTGACAGAAGGTGGGCTACGGCTGAATGTCAAGAAGACCAAGTTCCTGAGCTCCGAAGAGGGTGCAGAGCCGATCGTGGACGGCCATGGTGAGACCATCGAAAGGGTGGAGGACTTCCGATCAGGGTGAATATCGGTCGAGGAAATCCTCGACAGGGGGGTCGTACCTGTTGGGCTGGTCCATGGGGGGTCGTACTCTTGGGGTCAGTAACAGAAGTGGTATCATGGTGCAGATAGGTAATAGGGTATAGCGCAGCAGAAAATGAAAACATCCGAAAAAAACATGATATTAAATTTTCTTTGCAGGTTCAGTCGCTCCATTCCTCCACCTTCATGAGAAGGGCGTATTTGAAGGCAGTACAAAGAATGAAAGTGCATCCCCGCAAAGAAGAGTGCCACATGTGCGCACGCGCTGCAAAGGCACCTCCTCCGCCTATCTCTCGCTCCCCCTCCCCGCCCCCGCCCGCGCCGCCCCGCCCCCCCGCCCTCGCCCCCCCGCACCCCCCCTTTTTTAAATCCGCTGGGGCCCGCCGCATTGCGCCAAAAAAAAAAAAAAAAAAAAAAATAAACCTTGTTTTTGGCGGCTGGTGCAGGCTGTGGACGGTGCTCCGCGCCGCGCCGCGCGGGGGGGGGGGGGGGGGGGGGGGGGGGGGGGGGGGGGGGGGGGGGGGGGGGGGCCCTCGCTCCTTCTCCCTTAATACCTCGCTGAGAATGACGCTGTTGTTAGGGACCCTGTCGGAAAAACGACAACCGTGAAGAAAAAGCGCTGGGCAAATGAAGTTGTTTTTTAGGTTACAGGAATAGCACAACACACTATGTCTACTACAATACAGTTTCGTTCGAAGGTCCCCATCATATAACACCTTTCAATCGATTCTGCAACTGTGAGTGGAGGAGGGATGCATGGCTTATACCAATACCAAATCGGATGATGACGATTGCTCCTATTCTTATTGTTTGCGTTCAAAGATATTGTTCTAGACACATTCCGAGTGTTGCCAACGAGTCACACTTGCAATGGTGAATGAGGGAGCGGATTTCCAGGTGGCCGGATCCGTCCTCGATAGATCCTCGACGCAATTATCTCTTCAACCAAAAAGCTGTAGAAGAAAACTAAACAGACCATCAGGAAGCGCAAACCTTCCGCTTTCCAAAACTATCTTCCCTTTTTCAGGATCTTACAATATAAGAGATATATTGCTCTTGAAGTGGCAAAAACTCGCGTGAAAATTTGGCCTCCTCGACATTTACTCGACGAAATTTGACAGACCCTATCTTTCTGCAAGGAAGGCTTCCAGAGCAATTTTGATGCTTGTTGGAAACGCGAAATCCAGCTCTATCTAACTCTACCTCAAGCTGCTTCAAAGGTTGTGAAATGGAGGAATGCAACCTTTTCATCGAGGGTGTAGATTCGGACGTTTTTTTTTGAAATTTCGGCAAATCTGACCCAGTGACAATCGCGCCGCAGCTGCCGTTGAATCGGCCTTTGATACACTCGGCTGTTTTGATATACTCAAGCAAGAATCAAGATTGAATCGCAACCCCGTGTCTTCAGGATTTCTGTGCGTTTCTGAACGAACCTCGCCTTGAGGTCACACAAAGTTAATGCCTCTTTCCTCGAGTCGATATTTCAGTATGTACACAAAAGTATGCAGCGATGGAAGACGTGCATAGATGACAAGATGAAGCGTCCTTAGCATTATTTTGCAGAATTTTTTTTGATTTGTTTTGCAG